GCTCTGTAATCTGGGGTCGGGGACTGTGACATCGTCAGTCCGAAAATTCAACACGTCAGGCCGGTAGACCGGGTCCCGGACCGCAGGCGAAGCAACAACGACGATCACTCATTGCTTCCGTTAAGCACCATCTGCCATGTCCTTGCGCGAGCTGGGGCAATAAGAGGACTCAGTCACTCAGCAGCTGCGCAGCAACTCCTTTTCTCCAATCGTAGAATTCTCGACGCGAAACTTATTACCTCTGGTGCGCGCTTATGCTCCTCTCCCATCCTTTCCTAACATAGTGTTCGTCTCTTTGAGGCAGCCGTTGAGCCACCGTCTAAACTGCATAGTCCAAATTCTTCTGGGAGTCTGGAGAGATGTTTTTCGGAGTACTAGCGGCAGGGCTTGTTGCGGCGGCAGGACTCAAAGTATGCCAACGCTTTTTGCACTGTGGGTCCGGTCGCTGACAGTGGCTACCCATGTACATAGACAATGTCAGGCGGGCGTATGATTCAGGATATCTGTCGCCAGTTTGAAATTCACTATGGAATGGAGCGACGATCGCCCATCTATCGTCTCCCACCGGAGATTCTTGGGCAGATCTTCATTTCATGCCTTTCCCTCGAAGAACACGGTGCTGGCGGCCCCAGTATCCAGGAAATGGCTTCGCTGCTCTGTCAGGTCTGCATCCAATGGCGGGACATCATACTGTCCATGTCCAAAATCTGGGCAAAATGTATCGAGCACTGGGGCTGTTCGGCTCACATATCTTTGCTGAAGCTCTGGCTGGAGCGCTCTCGGGACCATCCTCTCACTATCAGTCTCCGAGGTGTGCAAAGCAGCGAGCGGCAGGATCTCCTCTTTGAAAACATCTACCGTTGGAAAACCGCCGCTGTGACCATGGATGTGGGTTTAGCAGACAGACTGACGGATGAACTGCGGAACAATGCACCGCTCTTGAAATCTCTGAATATCTTTGCGGCAAATTCCCACCTCGAATACCCCGGGATCACAGGAGTCCTAGCATCCCTCCCTAACCTCCGTCAACTGTCTTCAAGTTACACCCTTCTAAACAACTTTTCCGATTTCCACTGGCCCAAACTGACACACTTAAATTTCAGTAAACGGCTTGACACGAAAGAATGCCTCAAGGTGCTTTCCTGCTGCCCCTCCATCGAAAACGCGGCCTTCGATGAATTCTCTCCATTGCCACAGGACCTCTCGCATACCCCCATCATCACATTACCCCATCTCCGCACCCTCCAAATCTACTACGACCACGACGACCAGCACCGCAGTGGCAGTGCACGACTGGAGGACGCAGGCCAGCTCCTCGCCCACCTAACCCTCCCCTCCCTACGCACCCTTCTTTGCCCGACCCCCGCAGATCACAAAATCATACAACACCTGCACGACCGCTCGAACTGCAACATCCACATGATGAACTTCGACATGTCCATCCCCGAATCCGCGATGATCGTCCACGTCGAGCTCCGCTGTTTCCAGTCCCTCCGCTACCTGCACCTCTTCACCGTCGTGTCAGACGCGCTGGTCCTGCATCTCACGTGGCACCCGGTGACAAGGCCGTTCCTCCCGCACTTGAAGGATGTCCTGCTATTCGACTGCCGCACCACCGACGGCGTACTGTCGGACATGGTCGCCTCTCGGCGAAAGCCATCGGAGGGCGTACCTTGCTTATTAGAGCGCTTGGGTGTCCAGTACCACTCGATGGCCCCAATCGAGGGCGTCATTCCTTACAGTGTGGACGCGGCTGCTTTCCGCGAGTTTTCGGCGCAGGGAATGAGGATATCGCACATCAATAATATCAATATCCAGAGGACCTGATAGGCATCATCGGAGCCCGCCACTTCCTCCTTTCATCCACCATTACAAATCCAAACGACCCGCTTCTTGTTCCAATAACAGTGTCAAGAGTATGAGAGCCACCAAAAGTGACTCTGTACTACGCGTTCTCAAATGGATTTTCGCGCCACTGGTCATCTCTTAATACCCGCTTCAAAATCCATGCAAAGGTCTCTCACTCTTTCCGTCCCTTTCGCGGAAGTGGCCGCTACCACGTCTGTTAATAGTGGTGAGTCCCCATTTTTTTTACTTATCAGAATTCCAACCTAATTCTACCCCAAGTCTCTAGACTCGTGAAGCACCGGCCTCCCTAAACTGGCGAACTGAGAGCAAATCTACTTGAAGAACTGTTGAGCCGCGGTCGACGAGTGGACATTATAACGAGAAAGAGCGGTACCCGTACTGAAGATATCCGTATTGATACACGAAGATACCGCCACCCGCGGACGAGCAATGAATCTTATGAGGCCCCAAACTAAAGAAGATATCGAGCATCAGAAATACATCAAATCAAAAAATGGGTAGGTAGAGTATGCAAAGCAATCAACATAAGTGTACGATCGCGTACGGAAAGAAAAGCAAGAATCCTTTTCACGAAGCTCGGCGACGAATCAATCACTGCTGTCCCCAAACAGCCTCCGTATCGACCTCCCGCGCTGCTCCGTTTCTCTGTCTCTCAAGCGCCTCCCGATGCAGTGCGTCGTCGCCAGGGGACAGCGCCACAGCCTGGCCCGTAGGCTGACTCCAGAAGCGCGCATACACATGCGACACAATGAGCGCGAGTGGGCCGGAGAGCGGTGAACGCAGTGACGGTTATCTATGTGTATAGAAAGCATTACACATCACAGGGATAAAAGGAACGAATGAAGGCTGCGATGACGTACGTATACGGGATCGGGTTTCCACTACCACGTCTGTCAATAGTGGTGAGTCCCTGTTTTTTTGCTCCTTAGAATTCCAACCCCAAGTCTCTGAACTCGTGAAACACGGTCCAAGATATCCCGGTTTACTTGCACCCTCCGCAGACAGTGGCTTGAGATCTATACCGGCCGCCTTGATTCCACTGGCGAACCGGGAGAGCAAATCTGCTTGAAGAACTGTTGAACCGCGGTCGACGAGCAGACATTATAACGAAGAGGAAGAGCGGTACCCCTACTGAAGATATTCTTACTGATACACGAAGATACCGCCACTCGCAGACGTGCAATGAATTTTATGAGGCCCAAAACTAGAGAAGATCGCACATCAACAATACATCAAATCAAAAAATGGCAGGTAGCGTATGCAAAGTATTCAACATAAGTGTACGATCGTATACAAAGAGAAAAGTAAGAATCCTCCGACTCTTCACGAAACTCGGCGACGAATCACTGTTCCTGTCCCTGTCCCCAAACAGCCTCCAAATCCGCCTCCCGCGCCGCTCCATTGCTCTGCCTCTCAAGCGCCTCCCGATGCAGTGCGTCGTCGCCCGGTGGCAGCGCCACCGCCCCAGTGCCCGTCGGCTGACTCCAGAAGCGCGCATACACATGCGACATGATGAGCGCGAGCGGGTGGAGAGCGGTGAACGCAATGACGGTTATCTACGTATAAAGCATCACACATCAGACTCACAGGGGAGAGGAAGACGAGACCATGACGTACGTATACAGGCTCGGGTTTCGGCGACTCCACCCAGATGCTGACGCACAGCCAGGTCGCAGCGACGCACCATACAAAGTCGCGGCGGTATACGATGAAGATGAGCGCGAACAGGTTGGTGGACATGACTACGGCGAAGCCTAGCCATGCGTGCCACGCGGAATAGTGCCGTGGGGTGCCGGGTTTGGTAGGCTTGAATGAAAGGCCGAGCGTTACGCTAGTATGGAAAGTGAAGCAGGTACCAATAATGGAATTGAACGAGCTCACAAGAGGCAATACGGGAAGAGGATGTTCAGCGGCAGCGCCAAGAAAAAGCGGAGCGGGGCATGGATGAGCGCGGTGTCCATGGGGCGCTTGGACGTCGGGGGGTGGTACGTCAGGAGCGCGATGTTCGAATACAGGAGCAGGAGAATCAACACGCCCTGGAGGATCGTGGCCGCCAGGAACCACTGGAACACGCACGCGATCGCCCAGAAGGCCATGACCCAGTTCGCGAGGACGAGCGAGAGGCCGACGGCCTTGGTGAGCGCGCGTTTGGTCTCGGGTTTGGAGGCGAGCACGAGGAGGAGGCAGTACCCCAGCTGCCCGAAGAAGATGAAGAGGAAGTAGATGGCGATGCTCGGGGGGTAGGGGGAGATGGATGTCGGGTAGAGGCGGGCGACTTGGGTGAGCGTGGGGTTGGTGAGGAGGGTGCAGACGACAAGGGTGGCGACATTGATGAGTAGCGAGAGTGGAGTGAGGACTTGTAGGCGGACGAGAGCGAGGTATTCCCGCACGATTGGGTGGTTGAGGTTCAGTGGGAGACTCTCCATGGTGGTTGGCGACAGGAATCGAATCCAAGTCGAATCCAAGTGAGTCTACAAGTACGTCACTGACAGGCATGCTCTTCATGACGTCATGATCGAAACTTGGTGGCGGGAGGCTAGGCTTGGTCTCGGATCTCCCATTGCAGTCGGTACCTGCGCGGTCTCAAGGCCATAGCAACAATTTCCGTATTTATATATTGCCGCTTTACTCTATGCCCTGTTATTGGATCGAGTTTTCATGGCACCAGGCAGATCACATACACTGTTATGCGACGGACTCGGACTGCTTCTCGGTGATAAGGATGCGACCCAGACTCACTCGGTGTGCGGGACGCACCCACGGTAAATGGGGAGTAGAGCGATTTTAGCCAGGTGGTACCTTTGTGGGTAGGCACATCAAGCGCTTACGATTTTGGACTTGGCTGGAAAACACCACACTACTCCCTCCCTAATCTGGATCTCCATAGCTCCACCACTCGCCGTAATACACCTCAAACCAACCTCATACTCAGACATCCAATGCTAATCCTGCACTGTCAGGATTCTCATGGAAAACTTTCACATCCACTGTGTGAGTCGCAACTCTTCCCCCGAGTCGGCGTGCGCCACACTAAGCTCAGACTCAAAGTGTATAAAAGGATGCCAAGCAGGTTATAACCTATATAATTTCAGCCTCAAGGTATAAAATAATGAGTCAAATCATCTACCAAGTGGACACACCCGGAATTGAACCGGGGACCGCCCGCAGACCTAGCCAGTGCTAAGCGGGCGTGATAACCAACTACACCATGTGCCCGTGAATAGCTGATGTTGATGCCTTGATTTACATAAATTTAGATAGATCAAAATTACATGAAGTCAAAAGTCAGAACGAACCCCAGGAAATCCTCATCCACAAAACGAACACGTATATCCACGGCAGTCCTCCTCCTCCTATCAAGTATCGCCACACCTATGGTCTACCAGTTCACCACCTCTACTCTGCCCCGGGGAACTCCCGTCCAGTCGTATCCCTAAACCACCGCGCAACCAGCGGGCCCGGATGCGGATACGGGTGCGGATGCGGGTGGGACAGCAGAGGGTCAAGCCCCACCTGACCTTGACCTTGACACTCCTCAGAGTTATAGCGCGCCACACACTCCCTCCCAATCTTCACCATCGCACGGAGCAGAGGCCTCCCGACCTCCTCGCGGATCCACGCATCAGCAGAGTCGATGATATCGCGATACCCGACGCGGTCCCTGTATTCCAGCGCACCGCCTCCCCCGCCGCTGTAGGTGAAGCCGAGCCCGTGCGAGGCGGCCATACACTCGTCGTACGTGTGCCGCTGGTTGAACCCGACCGACGCGGCGAGGAGGGTGAGCCGGAGCTGCTCGGGCGTCGGGTGGTTCGCGCCGGCGGCGCAGCAGCCCTGCGCGTTGCTGTCGCTGGTGCTGCTGTCGAGGAAGATACGAGCATAGCTAAGCACGTCCCCGCTGGGGCCCGTGTACACGGGACGGTGGTTCGCCACAGCGCAGGTCTGCCAGTCCCGCGCGGCTTCGACGGCCTGGTGGACCACCGCGTCGACCTTGTCCGTGCGACTCGCAGTCGCGGTGCGGGGGTACGCGTGTGACTCGATGTTGCCGAAGAGCGTGTCCAGGTCCGCTTCGCTCAGCCACTCGAGTTTGCGCCTGTAGTGCGCGCCGGCGGTCTCTGGTGCGAGGATGAGGTTGGGCCTGCGCCCGACTCGGACGAGGTGGGGGTAGTACCGGACGAGGTTGAGCGTGAGGTGGGTTGGGCGCCGGCCGGTGGTGGGGTCCCTGAGGTCGGTGTCCTTGAGATACGCGAGATCGTGCTCGAGGGGCACGCCCAGCGCGAGCGATCTCTCCGCGCGCGCCTTGTATTCGTGTTCCTCGACGAACGGGTTCTCCAATGCGCTGAGGGGCGTGTCGGTCCATACGAGCCCGAGGAGGAGCGTGTAGAACGCCTTGCGTGCAGGCTCGTTGGTGCGCGTGAGCTTGAGGATGTGCGGGAGGCTGACCCTGCGGAAGCCGTAGTCAGTGAGGGTCTGGTGGCCGTTGAGGAAGGGGTCGGCGGGGCCGGGAGCTGGAATTTGGCCTGCGCTGGCTGGGGATGGGATGTGGTTTAGACCGATGAAGCTGGGGAGGAAGAGCAAGGGGACTTGCCTGCTTTTTCGTTTTCTTTTTCTTTTTCTTTGTCGGTAGGCACGAACTCGGTCTTGATGCGGTAGAGTTCCAGGGCGTAGCGGCTCGGGTTCCAATCGAGCAGCGTGCAAAGGCTCGCCCACTTCTTCCCGTCTGCGTCGAGCCGGAGCACTTCGACGAGTTTACGCTCGATGTAGTTGGTTCCAAACACGGGCACCTGCTGTGGTCCGAACTCGTCCCGGCCGTAGGAGAACGCAAACTGGTTGTTCCAGGGTAGGAGGCTCGCCGGGTCGGTGGTGTAGTGCGCCATCGCCTTCGGGGCTTTGAATGCGTGCAGGCGGTCCGGACGGCGGAGGTGCATCTGGATGAGGTACATGTGGTACTCAAAGTCGTCGACCATGCCCGCGGCGAGCTCGAGCGCGCCGGTGTAGTATCCGACCTGGCCGAGGAGACATTCGCGCAGCGTGTACGTGTAGCGGATCTTGCGGAAGAGCAGCGCGAGTGCGCGGGGCATGGGGTTGGCGCCGGAGTAGCGGCCGCCAGCGTAGTCGAGGATGCTCAGGCGGGTACGCGCCTTGGCAAGAGAGAGCGCGTGGTCGGCGAGGTGGTCCTTTTCGGTTTCCTGGTCCTGTAGGGCGTGGGCGCGCTCCAAATCGATGTCTTCATGTAACAGTTGGGCGACGAGATCGGCCTCAGTGCCGATGGGGGTGTCGTCGCTGCCAGGGACCGCGTCGGGTGTACAGAGCGCGTCGAACGTGAAGTCATAGATCTCCTGCCAGTTGGTATACCCTGGGATGTCGCTGGCGATGTGCTTGGCCCAAGCGAGGATCTGATTACGAAGGGGTTGAGCGGACGCGGGCTTGACCTCGACGCGGTCGATGTCGAAGCCGAACCTGAGGATCTTGGAGAGGGCGTCTTCGACGGCTTCGTTGAGCTGCAAGCGGAGCCAGTCGTCGCGCTGGTAGGAGCTGCGGGACATGATGGTGTGGCTCTCGTCAGAGTCGTCAGACGAGGTAGCCTGATCAGCGGAGATGCTCGCGGCGAGGGAGGCCATTGCTGTCTGTCTTGTCTTGTTTCAGACGTGAAATTTCGAAAATTACTGTCAGACTGACAGTGGCTGGGTTGTAGAAAGTTCAACCTCACCTTCCGCCTCTAAATGTTATCGATTATTCTTCCCGTCATTCTGCTTCTCGAGCATGCAAAGCAATCGGAGTTATCTGCTGAACTTTTTGTACATCGGGGGCCACATGGAGAAAACGACTCGACCCAGTGGTCGTGACTTGAAGGTCAAAAAAAAGACCACATGTCCTGATCATGGACACACCTGAATTGAACCGGGGACCGCGGGCGTGATAACCAGCTGCACCATGTGCCCATACGTGGTGGGTGTTCAGTAAGCGCCGTCAATCTCATCATGACTGAGGATTATCACGAATGGTGTTGATGGTACAGCAACAAGATGGTGGAGGAGCCAGTACTAGTAGTTGAATTCCATGGAAGGCATGAAGGCATACAGCCCAGCAATCGGCCGTGCCGGAGGTAAGTAAGTCCGGTAGGATATGACGTAGGGTTTCTCCACGTGGCCCCCGATGTACAGAAAGTTCAAAAGATAACTCCAACTGCTTTACATGCTCAAGGAGCACTATGAAGGGAAGAATAGTCAATAAATTTTTCGAGGTACGATTTTTATAACTGTCTACAGTCCGGCCACCTTATATTGTGACAGTAATTTTCGAAATTTCCCTCCGAGAAGGACCACCTCGCCGACCACGGTCTCTCTCTCGCCAAGGCGCGGGACCGCCAGGACATCCTCGACCGCGCTGCGGCCCGCTACTCCGGCGCCAACCCCATGCCACAGTTTTGCTGATCCTACAGTGTCTCGACCCATTGAAGGTGAAAAAATGATCAGGCGCCTTGAATATGGACACACCCGGAATTGAACCGGGGACCGCCCGCAGACCTAGCCAGTGCTAAGCGGGCGTGATAACCAACTACACCATGTGCCCATGGATTCCCTTGCTTACAAGGTCTTGAGTCGGACACTTTTCGTCCTACCGGCAGTCTCCGCGAATCCTCCAGCCAAACAAACAGGAGCAAGCCGGGCCAACCCAGACCATTTGTCGAGCCTCGAGGTGCCGCATCGCGCGTCGGCATCCAATTTGAAGCATTTTTCTATTTCACCGAAGGAGATCAGTTGGTTCAGACACCTAATATTCCACAATATTCAACTCCAGGCTTTACCACCAAGGACCAAGGTACTTACCTGTAACGCCACGGAAGCGCAAGGCAGTATCTGGCAGTTATGCTAATGATCAGCTCACTCCACCCGATTCTCAATGCTCAGTTGAACCCTTCATGTAAGCAAGGGTTACGTCGACAAAGTCGACACTTCCTCTAGTTGTGAGAGTCCAGACAAGGCCCCCGTTTTCATCATCGCCAGAGCGCATCTTATCAATGCTGAAGATTCTCAAAGAAACAAATGATATTGGTAGTACAATAATAAGAGTAGGGCGGAAGAGATGTAGTAGTAGTAATCGTAGTAGTAAATAGAACAATTATAACCAAGAAGCACAAACAATCTGTCTATACACGAAACGCGCCCGTGTCCAACCACCGGCCCACATTTTCAAACATTGTAAAAAAATCATCTATGCGCTCTAGATCAGCGGCTGGGGGAGGTACAGTAGGCTGGGCGGGGCTCACCATGGTCATCTACGGGCAGAATAAGTCAGGTATAAAAGGTCCCCACTCCCGCAAGAGAGGGATAGATAGGTAGCAGAGGCAGAGGAGGGAATAGAAATAGGTAGGACGTGGCAGTCGTTATGACGATAGCGAGATAAAGGGATATATCGATACACGGAAGGACAGTTAGATAGGACAGAACAAAACACGAAAGCAAATACGCGAGAGCGAGTCCGGAGGAACACACAAGGGAGAGGCATAAATGAGTGTTGGCATGGGCATATAATGTCATGAGTCATAGGCTGATTCGGGAGAAACGAGCGTGGCGTCATAGTTCAATAGATATCATCGAGTGGAGGGATCCTTGTCAGGGCGAGTGCTAGCTGTAGTAACCACTGTTCCAGTAGTTCGCGTCGTTCTGCTCGGACACTGGCTGGGGATGCTGCATGTACTGAGGAGTCGGTGCCCAGCTCGGGTGCGCAGGGGGGTTCATCGCCAGGTGATGCGAGTCGACAGGGGTCCCACGACCGCTCGCCATCTGGTAATGCTGCAGGACGCGCTGCTGCTGCTGCTGTTGAAGTTCAACGGGAGGCTTGACGTCATAAAGCGACTGTTGGGTTTTTTCGTAAAGTGGGGCCGAAGGCACACTGGGGTTGGGGGGACCCATAGCGTCGGGTTGTCTCATCGAGCCGTCCATCGATAGCTCCGTCTCCTGCTGACCGACAAAAGACGGCTCATAGCTGGGCTGCATCGGGAAAAACGACTGTGGGCTCGCTACGTTCGACTGGGGCCCGAACGCCGGGGGAGTGTGTCGAAGGGATTGGGTGCCCGAGGCGAAGGTGGGGGTCTGTGGGTGCTGCCCATATGGTGAACCCGCATTTGATAGGGCAGCGTTGCTACCTGGGTACGAGGGGCTCGATCCATCCCCAAATCCGCTTTCCGGGTTGGGTATAACGGCTTCCTGTTCAAA